TAAGTTATAACCAGAGTCTGTTGTAGGGAGAGCGTGATAATTGTGTATAGATCTATATTGGGAGTGACACCCCACACCTCGCTGCTAGCTACAGCCGGACCAGCAGGTCTGCGGGTGACAAGAGTCATAGTATCTTAACGTCTGAAAAACGTTGTGCATGTTATTTCTCGTCATAGTATGGTTATAGCGACTTACATAGGGAGTTAACAATCTTTCAAGTTTACAGAGAAAATTCTACTTTGAAAAGGGGTTTTACTTCTAAATTAAACGAGTTTATGTCGATTTAAAACTTGCATAAATTACTTTAAGTATGGAAAAACACACATATATATTCTCGGTCTTGGGATTTAGGACTACATGACTTTTATAAGGAAAATATTGGATTTTCTTTGGAACCACATTACTATTATGAACATTATAAGTACAAAACACACATATATTCTCGGTCCTGGGATTTAGGACTACATGACTTTTATAAGGAAAATATTGGATTTTCTTTGGAAACATATTCCTATTAAAACTACATTTCATCTAGAACTGTTAGACTTCAGCTATAATTGCTAAGTGTATATGCTAGAGTTATATAAGAATCTAGTCGCAATCGACTTAGAATTGGTGGGCCCGCCTTACTTCCTGTTCCTTGTTTGGTTGTGGACCTAGGGCAGACCCATTATATTCGACGGTTTATTTAACTTAAATGTTATATAACTTATATACGCTGGGTGATCATAGAAGGAATCTATGGGTCCTTCTAGGGTACATTATCGCATAACATAGGAGCATTCATTTTACACCTAACAAAGAAAATATTGGATTTTTTTGGAATCATACTCTATCACTTTTACAAGGACAACGACTTTTTCCTCAAACAAAACTCTTATGAACTCACCAACTTAATTGTTGACACTTTTCAAAACTACTTGTATTCTCAGGAAATCAGTGAAACAGAAAACCAACAACATTTTGAGGATGGGACGTTAAATCGTCAAACAGTTCATTTTGTCATCATAATGTAATTGATTTTGAAACATGTAAACATATACTATGGTGTAACCTTTTCAATTATATTTATGATGGTTGTATTTACTTTGAGCACTATTATACTCGTTGTTGTGATACTATACATGAAGTCCTCCACCCCCGGACGTTTCCGCCATTCTTGGTTTGGGGGTGTGACACTTACCTTTAATTGAGTTTTCATACAACAACAATTATCATACAAGCATCAAAGTTGCTCCTTTCGAAGCATTATATGGTCGTAAATGTAGATCACCGTTGTGTTGGATAGAGGTAGGCGACACTCAGCTGGCAAGAGGGCAGACACCAAGCAATGCATTAACAGGACCAGAAATCATACGCGAAGCGACAGAGAAAATAGTTCAAATCAAAGCTCGACTTCAAGCATCACGCGACCGACAGAAGAGCTACGCCGATAAGCGGCGAAAGCCCTTGGAATTTCAAGTCGGGGATCGAGTGTTGTTAAAGGTCTCCCCCTGGAAAGGAGTGATCCGTTTTGGGAAACGGGGAAAACTAAACCCACAATACATTGGACCCTTCGAGATTCTTGCCCGAATCGGTCTGATGGCCTATAGACTGCAACTACCTGCCGAACTCAACAGTGTACACCCCGTGTTTCATGTTTCCAATTTGAAGAAGTGCTTATCCAACGAAACTCTCGTCATTCCGTTAGAAGAAATCGAAATCAACGAGAATCTCCTGTTCATCGAGGAACCCGTCGAGATCATGGACAGGGTGATGAAGCGTACTAAGCAAAGTCGCATTCCAATTGTGAAGGTTCGGTGGAACGCAAAGCATGGACCGGAATTCACTTGGGAACGCGAAGACCAGATGAAGCAAAAGTACCCTCACTTATTCTCGCATTCTCAAATCTAGCTTCAAAAAGAATTTCGGGACGAAATTCCCTCTAACGGGGGGATGATATCACAACTAGAATTCTAGCTAGGAAATTCTGTACTCTTGTAAACATTATCTTCTGTAAACTCGTAAACCCTAATTCATGTTATGCTTGAAATTCAACCCACTTTCATGAAACTTAACTTTTTGGGCCATAATGGGCCTAAAATGGATTGGTTTACCTTAATGGGCCTTGTTGAGCCATAACAAATCCAATAAGCCCAATGGGCCGTAAAACTCATTTTTTTATGCAATTTGGGCCGTAAACTACCCTAAGGGTCCAATGGGCCGAAAAACCATTAATTTGGGCTCCATATTATGGACTCTAGCACAAAAGGCCCAAGCCTTTCCTTCCCTTCTCTCTCTCTCGGCCCAACTACAAAAAAAGGGGAGAAGAGTTGACTTTTAATGGTGCCACCTCATAATTGTACATAGGGTATCCATGCATCCTTCTCATGTTCCCATGCATGTCAACTCATCTCTCTCTCTCTCCCCTCTTCTTGTTTCGGACGAAGACACACAACACACACACATTACACAAAAATTCTCTCCATTTCTCTCTAAAGCCATCTCCTTTCTTCCTTCAAGGAAATCTCAAAAATTTGGCTTGGATTCAAGGGTTTTCATTAAGTGTTGTCAATCTTTGGTAAGTCTTTACACATCCAAGCTTCATAACTTCACTCTCTTGTTAGATCATTCCTTTACACAAAGTTTTTGGTGTTTATACTCTTAGAAATCTCCTTGAGTTCAAGATCTACTCAAGGAAGTTGCTAGGACCAAACTCTTCCATTTTCCTTCTTCAAAACCGAAGCAACAAACCTAAGGTGAGTTCATACCCCTCTATTTTCGGTTTTCATATGTTTTATGGGGGAGAATGCAAGTAAAATGTGAAGATCTATGTGTATTTGTATGATATGTGTGATTTCTTGTGTTTTTGTGATATATATGTGCTAAACATGAAAGATATTTCTAGATCTATAGTTCAAGAAGGAAAAATATGTGATCTAGGTCATATTTCACTTAACATGTCAAGATAAACTAATATACAAGCTTTAAAATAACACACTACACCATAAAACTCATTATTGGACTATTTTTGTCAAATAAACAAAAGTTTGGGAAAAAGTTGTCATTCACGGTTTTTACAAGGTTCAAAATGCCAAAACAGTTAAAATGGAAATTTCTATGAACATTATGTTTTTCAAAGGACTAAAAATGAAATTTGTGGCTTATTGGGCTAAATTTTGGGCTTTTCGGCCCATAGGCCCAAAGTTGCGAAAATATGGATTTAAGGGGCTAAAATGATAAATTTCTCAAAACAGTGGGTAGAAAAGTAAATAAATCTATTTCTGGGGTTTAAAATGATCTTATTTGTTAAAAAGAATTGAAAATGCAAAGATTTTGGATTTTGGGTAAAAAGTGTAAAAATTGCGAAAAAGGTGGACTAAAACGCAAATCTTTTAACTAAAGGGTTGAAACTTTCTAAAATTTACTTTTGGGCTTAAAACATTATTTAAATAAGTGTTTGGGTCAAAGATGTCAAGAAAAATGGTTCAAAGACCTAAAATGTCATTTTTATAAAAAGGGCAAAAATTGCCAACTTTACAAAATAAGGGGCTGAATAGGTCAAACTAATGTTTTTGGTCAATTATGTTGATAATAATAATAATTGGGTCAAAATATACAAAACTTTATAACTTATGGGTTGTAAATAGAAAAATAACTATTTTATAAATCTATAAATCGTTATAAAACAAATTCGTGATTTATACGACATATCGATTAAACAACTCACAACATTAATTCTATGAAAAACAAGTAAACGTTCAAATGGTTGGGCTTGAGAGATTCTAATCATGCTTAATGGGCCTTCGTGACTCATTAACATGGCTTTTGGGCCCAACATAAATAATACATGTTATTGGGCCTCCTGTGACCCAATTACATGCTTAAGGGACCCTCAATGGTTTTTACATGCTATTGGGCCTCAGTAGCCCATTAGCATTACTAGTAAGGTCCAAATAAATCATATGCGAAATGGGCCAACGCGCTTTTCGTATACTCGACAGCCTTAAATAACATACGAAATTAGTAGGGCCTAGTAGTCCTCTTCTCCTCGTCTGTTAGGCTTACCTTCTCTTCAAGTAAAATAAAATTAGATCATTAATCAAGGTTAATCAAATTCCTGTGGATTGAGTGAGTAATAACGGGTGACACCAATAAGTGTCGGTCGTAGTCTGTAGTTGTAATCAAAGTCTCCTGGAGGGAGAGCGAGAGTTTGTGTATAGATCTATACGGGGGTGACTCCCCCACACCTAAGCTGTTCGCTACAGTTAGACTCGGCCAGTCTAGGGTGACAAAGTCTTAAGATCAAATTTCGGTGTTCATTAGAATACCAAGACAGACGAACTAGTCATTATCATGCATGGTTATAACGACTCACGTAGAAATCCGACATCATTAATCAAGGGAAATCATATTCATTCGATGTAACGATTCAATAAAGCAAAACAATCATAACTTTTTATCGGAAAACATCGGGTTTTCCGGGGAAACCAATCTTACTCATTTGTACTTTCAAAAACTATAATGCAAAACTTCTCATTTATTCACGTATTGAAATCACTCACGCACATACTTACAGGATCATCACCACATTTTCAAGAAAAGTTTTAATACAGAAAACATCGGATTTTCTGGGTTTTTTTTTTAAATGACATAAACTGTTTCACATCAAACACACTTATGAACTCACCAACATTATATATGTTGATCATTTTCAAAATAACTTGTATTCTCAGGTAATCGTTAGACAAGGAGGCATCCAGTGTGTGAAAGTTTCTTTTGTAGTTGCTAATCACCAAACACTTTATATTATGAAATCATGTAATGTAAACCTTGTACTTGATGTAAACAATGCCAGTTGTACTATGTAATGGTTGGTGATGCATGTGTTATGTTTCATATATATTCATTGTGATGATATTTCAATTTAAGTCACGCGAGCCCTCAGACGTTTCCGCCGTCTGGTTCGGGGGTGTGACATTTTATCACTTTAAATTCCGAGTAAGCTCAAAATGTACAATGTCATAACTTATAATGAAAGCCGAAATGGCATACCGGCACAAAAAGTATATACTAATGAACAAGTTTATTGTCTATCCAATCATGAAAAATAAGTTAAAGAATTTTATCAAAAGCCCTTAAATATTCAATTAGCCCCGGCTCACGGTATAGATCATGTCTAACAATTGGTGCTTCACCACCAATAACCATGATTCGATCCTCTGATGGTCTTGGCGGGGATGCATAAAGGATTGACGATTGCATGACCTCTTGACGAACATTTTCTTGATCTTGTAATAACCATTGTGCTCGTAAAGCCGTCATAGACAACCCAGATGCAAGAAAGACTGTTGTGATCCCAAACACCCCAGCCGAAGAGAACAAGCCTTCTCGTGCAGTGAAGCAACTAGACCTTGGGGTTGACCACCCTTTCAAGTGCCCTGATTCGACACTTAAGCCAATCAACAATAAAATTTCTCCCACCGAAAAGCAAATCCTGTAATTTAAGAGAATAAACATTTTCATAGTTAGCATTGTATGTCCCTATAAAAATACACAAGTTTAAACTATAGCGCAAATTGAAGTAAACAACATACGTAGTTATTGTTCCATAGTTTTCTATAAACTACATGTGTTCAAGTATTACAATTTATGTGAAACAAATAAACGAATATACTTTAACAAGGTTTTTTCAGATGTACCAAGTGGTAACGAAGAAAAATGCAGCTTGCCAAGTGAGAGTGTTGAGATGATCATTCGAGAGAGGATCCCAAGTCAAAAGTAAACTAGGATCAGGGTCCGATTTACTAACAGATAACAACAAATGTGTATGTTGCACCACCATAGCGATCACAAGGGCTACAAATGCACCCGCCGCACAAATTAGTGGTGTTTCGCCATTGCCACTATATCTACAATCGCTCTTATGCGCTTCCCCTCCACCACTTCCACTTGCCTCTCGTATTACCTGTGTAAAAATGAGCAAATGATAACTTTTATCAAAAATTCATAATAACTAACATGATTATTTTTTTATTTGATAAGCTAAATTGGAATACTGCTTAATCGGGTATGTTACATATGATGTTTCTTTTTGACTTGATGTATAATAATAAGTTAACAGAGAAAGTCAATGAAATAGACGAAGAAAGAAAATAAACATGCCTAAATTTCATTTATATTTGATATTTTTTTGGTTCTGACTTTTCAGCTTACATGTACCTCAACTAATCTCCGTGCGAACATGAGAGTATGCCTCATGATGTAGAGTCATCGTGAACAAACCTCCATAACCATAAGAAAAATGATTGTGTCAGGATTTGAACATGGAGTAATAGGTTATCCATCATCTTCCACGTGCCTTCCCAGTAGGCCAATATGCCAGAACCCTTGTGGTTAAACCCTTGTGTTGTAATGATCTTTTTATGAATTGACAGACGAGTTTATAATATATTTTGGTCTTTTTATGGATTTTCTTCATTATCACCATATATACAAAACATACTCTAAAATATTATAAATTGAAAATCTAATAAACTCAATTATGTAGTTAGTAATCTTGAAGTGGGAAAATGTGTCACTTTATGTTCGGAATTTCATATGTAGCAAATTATAAATTTATTTTAGTTAAATGGACCAATGTGTCATTTTGTCAACTTAGAGGAAATGGTTAGTTTATTTTAAAAACAATATATCCTGTTTCACAATTAAAATCGATGAACACAATTTTTAATCTATTTTATAAGATAATCATCATATTGACAAGCTAAAATATCTATCTGAATAGAATGATATATATTTTTTACTTATAACAAACAAACTAGAATCAAATAGCACGATCAAAAGAAGAGATGGAAAACCTGCGAGCGTGTCGCCTCAGCAATAAGACAAAGAACGAAGCAAAGCAAGCCAAGCAGTATGGAGACGACCATCAACACTACACCAGTTTTACTCCCGATATCAGTCCCTCGACGACTTGGTGCAAGATCTGCATGTGTCACCGCCATTAAAGGGTCGAGGCTAGTCTGTGTGTTTAGGTGTTGTGTGTGTTTGAGCCTTTGAGGGAATGTGATAGTGTGTCATGTGCGTAGTATAATGTTGAAATATGAGATGAGGGCAGATAAAAAGGCATATGAGTTTGAAGTTTTGGCATTTTAGAATTGCTTGGGTGAAAGGTTGCTTAAAGGTTAGAGATTCTTTGTCTTGGTGTGTCACCAAAGGGGCTTTACATGCAAGTTAATATCCACAACGTATAGATTCTTGGTTTTTAAGGATTTCAAAGGTATTTTTTGGCAAATGTTTACCGATTAAAGAGATTAAGAAATGTTTACCAAATTTTATCTAGTCGTGGCCGGCATACAACTATATTTTCTATCTATATTTTGTTGGCCGTAAACCTCAAACTTATAATAATTAAATTCAAATAGTTTTGTTATATACCTACTAGTTGTGAGACCCATGTATTACATGAATTAATTAAAAAAAAGTTAAATATAAAGGTCAAAATATTTAAGAACTTTGAATTTATAAGAAAATAAGAAAAATAATGAATTATTATAATGTAAATGTTTTTTATCTTTTAAATTTAAACAAATAATTTAAATAAATAAAAGAAACTTATGAGCTTTAATTTTGTGAAATTTGAAATTAAAAGGTAAATTCATTGATATAATTGAAATCTATTTATTGCTATTTTTATTATAATTATTATATTAAAATATTATATGGAATTTAATAAAATAGAAAAAACATAAAATGACATGTGAAAAAAAACGACGTTTGATAGCAATGTGAAATATAGTTTGCCCTTTGTCATCAACCTTCCAAATTAGGTCGGGATATGACTGAATGAGCTCAATTATAAATCTTATGTTGCCCATTTTTGCAGCAGTAAAAAGTACCCGGGAAGGGTAGCTTCTCATTATACCTCCCTGCTTTTTAACTTCCATAGGTGGCCCACGGATTATGTCATCAATCTCGCTCTTGGGCATTATTGCAATTTTTTTCCAAAGTATTCTTAATAATTGCAGGGCTTCACTTTCCTTTTCTGTAAACCTTACCTTCACATGAAAGACTGCAAAAACTGAAAGCAACAACCAAGAATATCCTTTGTAGGAATTAGTCGGTTTCGGTTATAATTTATTTGTAACGGGTTAAAAGGAAAAAGAATTAAAAAAAAAATGAGCAAAAATGCAAATTGGTCAAAGAGATAGAAAGTCACTAAAAGCATATTTAGATGCATACTTCTTAAATCCATTTATTTAAAAGATATAGATTATCATTATAATAATGTTATCATTTTCGAAACCATATTTTGTATATGAATTATATATAAAATAAATCCGAAAAGGAACGAGAAAAGTAATTATCCTTGAAAAAAAACATGCTCTAATATCCTTCTGTCAGTTAAAGAACATGCATGAACTTCTTAAATCAATGATATTAAAGCATTAGAGGGATATTAAAAGTATGTCATTCTATTATTTGATATAATAACAAAGAAAGGGTTATTATTCTTGTTTTTGGTATTGTTAGTGTCATTAAAACAAATGGCATATGACTAGCGAGCATACTTACTTGACTTGATGATTCTCACCAAAATATGTGGTTTTCTCTGTTTAAATGCACGTGTCTTTTGAGCCAAAAGAAAGAGTACATTTGTGAGTAGTCCCTTTTTGGCATAGAGTTCGGGGCGATCATTCACTATTTTTGTGGCAACATCTACAAAAGATTTTTTTTCATTTAATGAGAGAAATTTTATTGGTATATGCATAATAAAGGAATAATCAATCATCAATCGTAAAGATAAAACATGAAGCTTTCGAAGGAAAATCACAATGTTACCAAAAAATCTTTTTCTAGTTGTGGAACATTATACCTATGACCCTAAAATTGTAAGAAACAAAGAGAATGGTAAATGCAAGAAATAACAACGTACTTTCAATGATTTCTTTACCATAGCATTCTACTTTCACTTTATCCTGTTCCAAAATTGTATTTTGAAAAATCTATCCAATTATAGCAGTGTCACCCAAATACGAAACAATTTCATTTCTATAATCGGATAGCAGTGTCACCCACAAAAAAAAAATCGGATAGCTTCTTTAAGTATAATGTCCTCATAAGAGAAAAAATAATTTGAAAGTACAACGCTATAATTTGGTAGATTTTTAAAAGTATAATGCCAAAATAAGAAAGATATTATAGTCCAAAGTTGTAAATTTGTAATAGATTGAAATAAAAGCAGGATGCTATAATACACAAGTAGATGAAAGTACATTGCTAATTCTTGCATTTAGCCAAAATGAGTAACCATGATAGTATGAATGTATAACACAATAACAAGAATTTTGTAAAAACTACTTACCAAAGATATCAGATTCAACACATTTTTGTAGAAGCCAACCCTGAATCTCATGACTCCAATAATCACCCGACATTTCATTAGAATTATGATAGAGATATCTCACCATATCAGGTTTTGCAAATAAAGCAGCCACATAGAGTGGCATTGTTCTATTACTACCAGGGATTTCCATCACTGCTCTGTTCTTTTTCACCATTATCATTGCTATTTTCACGTTTCCTGCTGCAGCTGCTAAACCAAGGGCAGTATTGTAACTTTTATTTTGTAGTTCCAAATCATTCTTTTCCATCAAATTCACTAAATTTTCCACAAACTCTTCCACGGCTTTGGTGCTTTCTGCTGATGCTGCAATGTGAAGGGGTGTTTCGTAATTTTCAGTTATAGCAAAACGTATCAATTCTGGTTGTTTGTCAAGGATGGGTTTTGCAGCTTTCCAATTGCCTATGATTGATGCTTCATAAAGTGGAACACCAATCTTGATGTAGTCTTCTCTACTTCCTTCAAATTAAGCGTTTTCAAAAAGCAGGTTAGAATTACATCTACCCAATCATTAGGGTACTGAAGGTAGTGAAGAAGATATGAAGCAACGGAATTGAAGCACGAGAGTAGTTGAATATTATAATCAAATGCGTGGGAAAACAAAACAAAACCACAAAATTCAAATCGATCAATGAAAACGACCACGACCACCCAAAGTCCATACCAAATTCCGAGAAACTGACAGATTTTACTTTACTTTATTTGAATTTCTCACATTGGAGAGATAGAGTAGCGTTTTGTAAATTTTCGCTAAATGGCGTGTGTTCTACTTATACTTGTCCTACCTTCAAGAAGATCTGATCGAGGTAGATTCGGTGGTGGCGGCATTGGTGGTGGCACTGGTGGAGGAACAATCGGAATGACGATTTGGTTCTGTTGGTGGTGGTGGTTGTTTACTCCAGGCCCTGAGTTTGTAGTTGCGATGTTCATCTCTCCGGCTGCTTACTTCCCTACAATGGAATCACAAAAACATGAAGTCACCAATCGATGGATTTGAAGAATAAAAATAACTGAGATTCTTGAAGTGTGAATGTCTGATGCTCAAAGTTGAAGCAACCTTCTTCTTTTTATGAAAGGAGAGTAATGGGTTTTACACATGATTTTGTAGGAAAGTCATGGTCAACGTCAACGTCAAAAATTCCCCATGTGGCCTTTTTTGCTAAAAAGCTACTTCGATAATACATGTGGTCGAATTTTAATGGCACCAACAAGTAAGATTGAATTGATTAATTTTAGTTACCATCACTTGTTATAAAGATTGTAACGTAAAAAATGTAAACTCTACTTGTAAATCTTAAACTTACAGCTCTTTAATTATTATTTTTTTCTTTCAAGTTTAGCTTTTAAATAAATTTAGTATTTATTAATTTGTGGATGGCACTTTCTAGTTTCTTATCTTTCTAAAATAAGTTTAGTTAGTTTAGGTATTGTTTTGGTTGCAATATGTAATATGGAAGTAAACAAACACTGAAAAGTAGTTGAGGTTTACGTAAACAGAGGTGATATATTTTTGATACAACCATAGATTGTTAAGGTAACAGGACAATTATGTCATTGTATTAATTATATAAAAAATTCAATACATATCGACGGAAGGCAAACGGACAACAAGCTGTGTCGATAGCCCTTATAATTAATCATTCAAAAGCAAATCTTTCATTCAATTGAAAATCGCTGGTCTCTCCATAATCAGGTCAAGGTCAAAGAAGAAGAGACGAGGCAATCGGATCATAGAAGAAGAGGCGACGACCTCCGCCTAGGATTTCCTCATCGCTTCATAAGGCTGCAACAACGATCATGCACAAGCCTTTGTCTGTGCTTGCCAGGCCTGGCCCAATAGACTGGACAAGTTGGACGATGGCACAGGCCTCAGTAAGGATTGGGGCCCTAAAATTAATTTTCACTTGTATATATTTTAAACGCGTTTAAAAATTTTTAAAAAATGTCTTACGTTGAGTTGGATGGCCGGCTAGGAAGTCTTTTTACTTTACCATTAGCAGGTTCGAATCTCGTTATATCTTCTTTTCAAACTAATATACAAAAGTTTTAATATGTGGAATTTCTATATAAGCTTTGTTTCTTTCTTTCAATCTTTTATTAGGCACTTGCTTCAAAATATCAAAAAAAAAAAAAAAAAAAAAAAAAAAAAAAACAAAATAAAACAAAAAAATCAAAGTCTTTATGATTCTAGTTAATTCTACGAAAATCTTTAAATACATATATTTTCTTTATTATTTACTTGATAAACTTTATTATAGTAGTATTTAATAATTCTATTAATTTCAGCTCCCATGTATTAGTGTTTATATACAAGATTTAAAAATATTTTCATCATCATAATTATCAATTCTCATGGAACATTTTAAGATATATTACTAATTTTAATTTATAATATATTTCATCATTTAAATTTGTATATATATAAGGATGTCGTTTGGATAATCATGTTCAGTTATGTTTTTTGGGTTTTATATAATCAAAGATCAAACCAAACCTAAAAAGTTAGTCTTTTTAAATGCAAAACCAAACCTACGGTTTTCCAAAATGTTTTAGATGTTTGGTTTTTGATATTATTCTGTTATTGTTATTTTTAAATGCAGAACCTAATAGTTTTACTGGTTAGTTGTTAACTCATACATTTTAAACTATATATATATATATATATATATATATATATATATATATCTTATACTATATTATAAAGCATATTAGTCATATCTTGAATTTTAAGAGATATAAGTTATAAAGTTTTTTGTACAAATCAATTTTGCGTAAATATCATTAATACTTGCCAAAAATTTGCAGACTTGAATTAAGGAAAGTTATTAAGAAAATTAATTTGGAGCAAAATGATAATTTTAAAGTATTAAATTCATATATATATATATAAATTAATTTAAATTTGTTAAACTGAAAACTGATTAGCTATGAAACTTCACCTACATTTTTAGGCTATCACGTATATACAGAGGAGTTAGCCATATCAACACAACATCCCTCAACCAACACCATACACTATTCTCTATGTTGTTTACAAAAAAGACACTTGTATTAATTAACTACATTAAATATATAAACCTGCAATATAAATATAAGGTTTAAACATAATCATTTTATTTAAAAGTGGTAATTGTTTTTACATAATAACTAATAATAAATTTTAATAAATATTTCCCACGTAAGAAAACTATTCTCAAAAAGAGTTATTTATCGCCGCCGCTTTGCACGGGTACACATCTACTATACATATATATATATATATATATATATATATATATATATATATATATATATATATATATATATATAGGCCTAGGTTATTCTATTCAAAGTAATTATTGTGTTATTATATGCATAAATGTGGGCCAATCAAATTTACTTATTTTAAGAAAGTGATTAATATATATTACTGAATTAAATATAATTGAAAAATATCATCTTAATTAATTGCAAGGGTATTTTAGTCAATTAATATAGATTTAATAAAGGAAAATTGCATTTTTTAAGGGATCATAGATTCTATTAATTTTAAAAATCCGATTTTACAAATTATAATTCTTTTAATTCAGACATTCTGACAGAATATGTTTATGGGTATATTCAAAAATAAAAATATTATTGAACCATAAATAATAAAAATATTCTTGAACGTATTTCTTGATCGTGACTTTAAAAACTTCTTGTAGAATAACAAATTCTTGAACAATCGATTGAAGAATAAAAACAAAAAATACATTATTTCTTATAGAATACGGGTAACAATTGTTAAGAATTACATTTATTTTTAAAGAATAAAACTAAAAAAACTTTCAAAACGGGAAAGAAAACATCAAAATCTAACAACGACAATAATACATTCTAAAAGAACAATGTTGCTTAGAATCACTTCCAATTTTGTGGTCCGTTCTTCAAGCATCAACTTTTGTGATTCCAACAGAATTAGAATTCGTGATTCCATTCCAATAGAACTTATCACTATTTGGAATTTGTGATTCCAACAGAATTGGAATTTGTGATTCCAACAGATCATGAGGAAAAATTGATCGACACCATGAAGATGATAAAGATATGAAACAAACCCAACAGGAAGTCTATACCCAATCCATCCACTTTTGAACCCTGGATATCCACCCGCTAGAATAATAAAGATCATAGCACAAATGTTTGCAGTCGTGACCACTGATTGCACGAAAGTGCTCTGTAACATTCAAATTTCATAAAACAAACATGTTTAACAATAGTTCCAACACAACTTAATGAAGAAAAAAAAGATCTTTGGAAGAAAATGAAGGGATACCTCTTTGATTCCAACACATAATAGCCCTGTAACAATAAACACCAAGAAAGCTGCACAAGGGTCGACCACAATACAATCTAGAGCAACCTAAAAGCTGCCAATGGCAAACTAGAATCAATAGTATGTTAATACTCATTACTCGATAGACTAGAATCAATAGTATGTTAATACTCATTTGCACAATTGATGTATAGAATTTTAGATAAAGAAATTGCAAAATACCAGAAAAGACGTACCCTGCAGAATTGGCTATAGTCCTAGAGATCTTCATCTTCTTCTTAGCGCCTTTATAAAGATCCTCCAAGCTACAAGGCAACAAATTCTCCACAGTAGGAGCCTTCTGGCGGATGAACTCTCCCCACCGTTTGGAGCCCTAAAAGCCCCATCTTTGAACGTCCTCCCTGCAGACTCAACATAATAGTAGACAACGATCAGAACATGTCATCATGTCCCAGACAATTTAAGAAATTGAACTGACAGATTATTAATGGAGAGGTAGGTACCTGTTTGGCGACGAATTCTGGGTAATTGTCCTGGAGCAACTGAAGAACTTGACGGAGTTATTTCTTGAAGGGGGAGGGGGAAATTTTGAGATCGATAATTTGAACAATGGTGGAGATCCCATCGGGGCTGAAATCGAGCTTTCTGATGCTCTTTTCCAGGAACTGGATTCTCCATCGAAGGAAATTTGTGCGCTTCTCTTCGACGCCGTGCATGTAAACCACCTTCTCTTGCTCTGTTCCCAGATCTTCATCGAGTAGTGATTCAATCCCGAAGATTGATCTTCAACCGGTGATGAAGATTGATCCTACGCCGGTGTTGAAGATTGATAGGTTCAGTCGTAGGCCGTATATAAAAGGGGGGATTAGGTTAAAATCAACGTAACTAGCAAAATTATAGGGAGTATTTGCGGAAGTTATTTATCAAATTACCTAGTTACCCTTATTGATTTATTTAATTATTGTTTTTTCTATTAAATTTTGATTGGTCCACAATCATGCATACAATAACACAATAATTAGTTTAAACAAATGAAGCTAGCTCTCTCTCTCTCTCTCTCTCTATATATATATATATATATATATATATATATATATATATATATATATATATATATATATATATATACTAGTCGTTGCCTACGCCAAGCGACGGGTGCAAATACTTTTCTCATAAATTAGTTTCTAGAGGAGATTAGTCCTTTTGTACAAATAGTTTATCGGACATCCATGTTTCAGTCGTAGTCGTAGGTAATGAGACGTGTCAAAAACCAAAGATTAGTTTTCTTTTTGTGGTTTGTTCCCTTTAGGTTCGAGTATTCTGTTTATGGGTTGTACCGAGGAGTGTTAGAACCGAATATTAGTTTTCTTTTTTGTCATCCAACTTTCTTTTCGTGGTTTGCACCATGACCCACCTCTTCCACCCCTATTTTACTGAGAACCATCATCACATACACATACACATTGTCTAAGTGTTTGGAGATGTAATTAAAAATGCTTAGTACCAAAACCGGTTACAACAATCGTTTAAACTTTGGAATCAACATCAGAACCGATTGGAACCTCACGATGCAGCGAAGGAGTATAATTCATTATATATATAATTGTTTTCAGATGGAGATTAATTTTTTTTGATGAACTGTTTTGGGTCTAATATGTTGTTCTTTTCGGATTGAGCGTGTGTAGTGTTTGATTCAATAAGTTCTTAAGCACTTTTGCATTGATGATGCCATGAAATTTGTTAGGGTAGGGAATTCAGGAATTC